TGTTCAGCATGGGGGTGAGTAGAAAATGAAGGCTAATCATGTTTTGGGTGTACTATTCCTTTAATGTGAACAAAAAGTCCTTTTTGATAGATGTAACGTCTCATTTCTTTCAGAGCAGGACCCTCACCCTGACCAGCCGGACGCTTACATAAAGCTTACTGCACCAAGTTTTATTGTTTTTTTCTGTGGGCAAAATCACATAGATTAAACGCAAACTAATGAAAATTGCTGCCATCATCTCATATTATTTTAATAAACAAGGTAACTTGCTTTGATCCCGGGTTTATAACAAGTTTAATATCGGTGTGTGGCCTCAGCTTGTTCATCTGATGTTCCTCATTAAACCCGGGGGGGCTTGTGTGTTTGAGCCCAGACTCATGGAAAATTACAGGGATTTAACATGTGGTTTATTTATGAGACAAAAAGGGAAATTAAAGCCATCCTTTCATTGAGTGCAAGAACATCTTACTGATAAAACACAGAGTTTAATGATTTATGGCTTTAAAAGAATGAGGTTAAAGCTGATAAAAGCAGAACAACCCGTGTTTCACAGTCCTTCTTCTGCACACAGAGCATAATATCCTGCAAAAACTATCTAGAAATAAGTAAAAATTTCTTAAATTAAGTGTATTCACCCTTAATTTGAGTAGGTAAATGAGATAGTTTGCCAATGGAATTAATAATTTTACTCTTAAAATAAGATAATTAGATAATATGCACTTGAAATAAGACAATGCAATTGTGTTTTCTTATTTTAAGCGAAAATTGTCTTGTTCCATTGGCAAAATGTCTCTTTTACCTCCTCAATTCAAGAACAAATGCCCTTATTTTAAGAAAAAATGACTTATCTAGATTTAGATTTTTTGCAGTGAACCTAGTTGGAAGTTTCAGATTCAAAATAAAAGCTTTAAACTCAAGTTAAAGTCCTTCATTTGCCCTTGAAAATCAACCTTTAAAGACATTCTAAAAGAATCCATTTTATGTTTTTTTTACTGCAAAATCATACACAGTGTATTTTTTAGTACCTTGCAATTAAATCTTCTCAATTTCTACCACTTGTCTAATATTTTACGGTATAGTGAAGTTTTACAAATGTATTTATTTAGATATTAATTTACATGTTTTCATAGATTTTTTACATATACAAATCTAAAGGGTCTGCTGTGGATTGGTCCCCTTTACTCATACAACCCAAAATACAATCTGATGCCAGGCAAAGACGACTTTATAAATAAAGCACTTTAATGACAGCAGACACTGATAGGAAGGCTGAACGAAAGAACGAATGATTGATATAAATAAAAACATTAAAATTCAGAAAGAGACGATGACGACCAAAAGTGGGGAATAAGTAATAAAAGTGAAAATAGCTAAATGAAATATAACATTGAGAAGAAGAGCGTTGAAATGGATTAACACCTCATACCGATTTACTAATTGATGCATTTTAGGAAATGCAGCTTTTCTGTTTCTGTCCTTAGAGGTTTACTGGATGACATCAGAGAACGCATGACGGGACAAAAACTGTTATTAGAAAAGAAGGTCTTCTATTTATAAAGCCAATTAAGGGACACAACAAACATTCACAAGGTGTTCCGGTCAGATCAATCTATGGCAAATGTAACTCCTGAACCCTAACAGTGAAACACGGTAGTGGCAGCATGATGCTGTGGGGATTCTAGGGGCTAAAAAGGAAAGGTTAAAGCTGAAAATAATAGAATGGAGTAGAGGCTCAGCTTGACCCTAAACAGAGATTTAAAGGTTTTGGTTAAATCTGTTAAAGTTCAAACCTAAATCGGACTGAGAGTCTGTGGGAAGACACCAAAACCTGATCCTCAGAGAGACGTTCTTCTTCCAGTTTGACTGAGCTTGAGGTGTTTTTGCAAAGTGGAATGAGACAGAAATTCAGTCTCTAGATAGGTATGTAAAGCTGGTAAAGCTCCACAAGGGGAGTTTCAACAAAAAGAAAACAAAAACTAGTGGATTATTTTCCTTCTAATTCACTATTATCGACCGTTATGTGGTTTATTAAATGAAACCCCCCCCCTACAAACACTGAAAGTTGTTACTGTTCTGTGATTTATTTTTTAAAAACTTCAGGGGGTGTGAATACTTTTCCCAGGTAACTCAAAAATTTCCCAACCCCAGAATCAAAGAGAATGCGTCTCTGGAACAAACAAATCCTACCTGAAGGTATTCCTCAAACTCCTCCCGCTTGGATGTTAGGAACTCATAATTCTTTGGGCCGATTATTCTCTTAGAGGGCAGCTGAGCATCTGGAAATGAACCTTAAAAGAGAAAAAAGCTTTTTAAGAACCTCTAAGTTACCTCTAAGTTTATAGCACAGACATTTTCTACAGAGCCTCTTTCCAAATGTCTTTAAAAATGACTCCAAATGATGTCAGACACAGATATGCACAGAACAGCTCTGGGTTGCAAAGTGAAGAAATAAAAAGCAGAAAACCTACCGTGAAACTCAGTTAGCTTTGATTCCAGCACATAAAACTCCAGATACCTCCTGTAGACCGACCAGTGCTCACTGTCATGACCCACTATTGGAAAGCAGACAGAAGAAAAAATTTAAATTACAATTAATTCATATTAACGAAAAAATGACATGCTCTCGTCATGAGCTTCAACATTCTTGTGTCGTCTCCCTTTATCTTGAGTAATACAACCTCGTTTCCATCCATGTTCTGTTTTTGCTTAAAGGAACAGTACACCCAAAACATGATTAGCCTTCATTTTCTACTCACCCCCATGCTGAACAACACTCTGGAGTACTTTTTTGATATCTCAAATGCATCTGGAGATCTGGGAGGCTTCTTGCTGTCTGCTGACATTCAAATAATGGAGGTCTATGGCGCCCGAGGCAGAAAGGTCCATAAAAGTCCACAAAAAACGTGTCAATATTCCTCCATACTGCTCGTCCAATGTATTCCAAGTGTCCTGATTGGGTAGCATCCAGAATTTACTCGAAACGAAGTCATTTAGAATGTTTTTAGAGCATAAACAGTAGTGTATAGGATTTCCTGAAAGCGCGTTCACGAGTCTACGGAAACCGCGGCAGACCAAACCAGATGAAAGTGCGCATTCAGCTCGGCAAAGAACTCATGCTCTTCCTCAACACTGAAGTCCTCAGACATTTTTCTTTCGTTGTTTCTTTCTTTGCACAGGTAAACAGCACATTTCTTCTTCTACGCTTGCATTATCGGCAGAGCAGACGCTGAATGCGCACTTTCATCTGGTTTGGTCTGCTGCGGTTTCCGTAGACTCGTGAACGCGCTTTCAGGAAATCCTATACACTACTGTTTATGCTCTAAAAACATTCTAAATGACTTTGTTTCGAGTAAATTATGGACGCTACCCACTCAGGACACTTGGAATACATTGGACGAGCAGTATGGAGGAATATTGACACGTTTTTTGTGGACTTTTATGGACCTTTCTGCCTCGGGCGCCATAGACCTCCATTATTTGAATGTCAGCAGACAGCAAGAAGCCTCCCAGATCTCCAGATGCATTTGAGATATCAAAAAAGTACTCCAGAGTGTTGTTCAGCATGGGGGTGAGTAGAAAATGAAGGCTAATCATGTTTTGGGTGTACTATTCCTTTAAAAATTTTGAATGCGTGTTAAGTTTTCACAAATTTCACATCAGAAATAAAAATGTTAATAAAAGATGCCCCTAATAATCCACGCTTGTGGAAGTTCACCTGCTTTCCTGTCATTGCGCTCCACATCGATACAGAAGACAGGAATCCTCTCCCTCTTCACGTCGTCGTCGTAGAAATCGATGTAGGGGATGGTGATGTTCCAGGCTGAGAGGTTTCGAGGGGTGCTGGGTGTGGATGCTGCCTCCATGGGGGAGTCATCCTCAAGCACCATCATGGCTTCCTCTACCTGAAATACACAAAGTTAGGCAAATTATTACATCCACTGGGTCACAGCCGCCTTGTGATGCTGGTAGCTACTTAAAGAGACATAATGTAAGTTTTAGACTTTTCATTTGACCCTTTATGACTAAAACATGGTTTGATGAGCAGACTGACACATCAGTAGTTCAGTATTAATGCATCTATAAGCCTGTTGCCTGTTTTCCCTGAATGTACTTCAGGTCTGACGTTCCCGTGCCGTTTCTCTGGAAGTCACGTAAAGCATGTCCATGTTAAAAGGGTCCAATCGATAAAACAATTAAATATGTTCTAGATTCATTTTGTAAATTACTAAGAAACAAGCAGCAACCAGCTCAACTCAGACACCAATATCAACTCAACATTAGCACGGGGGAGCAGTCTGGGGTTAGGGCGTCATGCACAGGGACCAAGAGTGCTAGCCTGTGGGAATGAGTGGGACTTGAACTCAGAACCTCTGGGAGCAAGGCTTTAACCACTAGGCCACCGCTCCCATTGCCTGGCAAAGAGAAGGATAAACATTGGATCCGCATTTGAATCTTGGATGAAGCTCAGAGTTGTGTTGTGAATAAGAAGGGTCCTTAAAATGGTTAGATAACACTGACTATATAAATAGCCCTGGGCCATGTACAAATAAAATCAAAAACCCATTTGATGTAATAATAAGTTTATATATATATATATCAAGCATTGGTGCTGGAAGTACTAGAATAGTCCTTTTTGAGCCTAAATAGAATTCTAGCACCGGCACCAATGAGCCATGAAGAGACTCTGGGGCCATTGGCTGGAGGCATCGCAACACTAGCAGAAAGCGACTAATAAATAGAGCCGCACAGTCCTGCAATGCAGGAGACTAACATTAGAACATCTCCAGCAAAGTAATTACATTTCAAAGATTTTGTTTTTAGTTTAATTATACAAACAGGAAAATTGGGTTGTGCTGCTGTATTGTAATTTCATATATATATATATATATATATATATATATATATATACAAATATAATGTTATTTAGTTAAGTGCACTCTAACTTTCCCAGAGTTCAACGTCCTTACAGCTTTTTAAGGTATTTTTAAAAAAGCTTTTCTATGAAACCACTGAGATCAGGCTTAAAATGAAAAGGAAGAATGAAAGGAAGCAACACAGAGGAAAAAAGTACACACTGAAGGAAGGAAGGAAGGAAGGAAGGAAGGAAGGAAGGAAGGAAGGAAGGAAGGAAGGAAGGAAGGAAGGAA